GCTGCCGAGCAAATCCCAAACCCTTTTAGCACAGCCAGAGCTGGCTGGTTGGGCAAGTCACTCCTCCAGACTCATTTATTTATTTTTTTTAAGGTTACTGCTCCATTTTTGGTTTTCTTTCAGTAGGTCCCCATGGTGCAAGTCTGTCCAACACAGATCTCCTGGGCTGGGCAAGTCTATGGCTGCCTTTTTCTGTATGGGCATGGCCCACCTGTGAGACCAGTGGCAAATATTTTGATTTTTTCAGAGCTCTCTGGGGTGTAGATGCCCAGTTGCTGCTGGTCTTTATGGGGATGCTGCACCTATATGTGTCATCACAGGCTCTGAAGCTCCAGTCTCTTGTACTGCAGGAAAATGGCAAAGCACTGGCCAGTTTTCTACCCATTGAAGGGCTTTTCAAAGGCAAATATTTAAATGTCTGTGGTATCAGTTGCCCAGAGTTTACTTTCCCATTGAATTATGTTGTATTGCATTCAGTTGTACTTATAAAAAATGAAGAATTGTTGTAATAATAGCAGAGAATTGACTTTTTAGCATTAAAACAATTTTGACAGAGCAGATCATTCCCCACTTCTTAACAAGTGCTTTCCCATTGCATTCCCATTGCCACTTCCCCCCCTTCATAAATCTGATGGAGTTTGGAAACAGAAGTGGGTTTCCCTTCAGAGTTTCACAATTAATCTATGCCAAGTTTAGTGCAAAGTTCAATTCTCTTGCAAATAGCAGCCATTATTTGGCAGTTCATCTGTCATATCCTGGCTTGGCTCCCTGTGTTTACTATGAAATATGACTGCCAGCTCTGCTTGGGGAATTATTGAAAGTTTACATTGATTAAAAGAGGAAATTTGAAGAAAATTCACAGGAACTGACCTCCAACTCAGTAGTCTACCTCTGGCTGAAAGGTCTAGAGATGATGTTATTTCCTCAGTAGTGCATATAAGTTGCTTAATGCATATTTAACCTTGGGAATTATTAAACTGTATTAACAACTAATAAGTGTTAATTGATGCTAATAATATAAGTAATTAGTAGTGGCAGTGTAGTAATTACTACTAATATAGTTACTTCAAGTGTAAATTACAGATTCAAGGGTAGTTCTGAGTGCCTGCAAAGCCCATGCTATATATATGAAATAAAATGTAAAGGTTTTCCATTCTCTGCTGGGAGTGTAGAGATCTCGGGACTTTCTTTCTGTTTTGTCAGACTTGCTTGCAGAATAGTGTTTTGTGTACATGAATTTACAAAAAAAACACATGGGATGGAAACAAAGTAGGATTAAATACTGACAAGAGTACTCTCTCTTATTTGTTAGCTTTTAGGTACTTTTGAGGTTTTTCTATTTACTTCTATGAAAGGCATTTTAAAAGAGAGATTTCCTACATGCAAAGTTTCCATTTCAGGAGTAATTTTGGTACAGTTTTCTTATGCCCTCTGCCTGGAATAAATAATTTCATATGTGCATATAGAATAATCACTAATCATAGTCAGAACATCTTTGCTGCTCTTTTTAAAAAAACAAACAAAAAACAAACAAACAAACAAAAACCACAAAAAACCAAAACAAGGCAGTTAATATTGAGTTGTTCCTTTTAAACATCATTAAGTAGGCAAGTTCACAAAATGATAGAAAACTAGTATTTATTATTGAAAGCAAATGATGGTTCAAATTATATACAGTGAATCCTTCAGGGCCAATTTGGATGTTTGATCCCAGTTGATTTATTTATCCCTGTGACTGCTTTTACTTCATTTTTTTGTAAGAATGGCTTTGCTGCTGTTTGGTAGTTGCATACAGTTGGGCACAGGAGCCTTGGCTCCTGGAGTGCTGCTTTGTACTGAGTGCAGTGTAGTCACAACATTTTTAAACCACTCACACACCCCTGCTTAATTACCATGTAGATGCCATTGATTGGAATGGAATATTTGGTAGAGTTGGTTATATAATTTCAGTATAATATCCAGGTTCGATGGATCTAGTTGACATTCACTATAATAATTTCCCATCATTTTTTCCCCTCTATATCATTGCTATATACTCACAAATACCACTTCTGTCAGATGTTAAACACAACTTCCAAAATCGGTTTGTTTCGTGTCGTTCTTTGAAGCTTTGTGAGAAGCTTTTGGGTTTTTTTCTTTTTGTGAGCTTTGTCCTTCTCAGCAACAGATGTGCTTAGCAAAGCAATGCTTAAGTGTATGTTTAAAAGGCAGTAAGTTCCCTTGCATCTTCTGAACAAAACAAACTGAGGAAGAATCAGCTTTGAAGACATGTTTTACATTGTTTGGAAGGCATATAGGGAGTTGCTCCATCAGATAACCCTGTAGTAAAGCAATGTTCCCATGACCCTGCACCACAAGACCCACTGGCTGTGTCTTTAATAAATAATGAAACAGATGCTTTCTGGAGCATGGAATGTCATTCCCTTCAGGTTAACTGTGTTTACAAAAGAAACATGGTTGTTAGCAGTTTGCATTTCATATCTCAAGCTCTAGAACAAACATAACTATTGATACAGTCTCAATTAGAACTCTTAACATAAAGCCTTTACTCATCATCCTGGATGCTACAGAATTTCTATCTGTGCAGTGAAAACTAGTGTTTGTACACTCATGGCAAAACTTAGTAGCAAAAAAAAATCATACAGAGAATATTTACCAAAGCAAACAAACAAACCCCCTTGACAAAGTATAGCCTAGGAAAATATTAAATATTGAAGTTCTGGGAACAGGCTGCCTGAGTCTGGTGTGTGTGAGGTTCTGTATCCAGGTGTGTGTGGGATGGGCCTGGCATGGCTGAACACACTGAATATAGGCTTCTGTAGCATAAGTTGCAGAGCTGGACAGGTTTTTGTGTTTGATATAACACAACAAAGGTGTATCCATCTTATCTTTTATGACTGGAGAAGCTCTTTCTGTTTCTCCCCTCCAGGATCCCAGAAGCAAACACAAGTTTAAGATCCACACGTATGGGAGCCCAACCTTCTGTGACCACTGTGGGTCCCTGCTTTATGGGCTTCTGCACCAAGGGATGAAATGTGACAGTAAGTGTGTTTTTTCTGTGTTACCAAAATGGTGTTTTAGAAAGTAAGTGTAAGTCCTGGGTAGCAGCTTTTTATTTCTTTTCTGTGGAAAATACCATTTCAAATGCCATCTATTTATAGTACTGTTATATTTCAAGTGGATATTTCAGTACTCTAATAATATACTGCTGAGAATCACCTCTTTTGGTGGGAACATGGTTTATTGAGTTTGATGTGGCTGAAGAGCATTTGCTGTGACAGTTTTGAGGAAAAGCTGGGTTTGGACAGGTCAGGTGAATGCACTGTTAAAAACTGCAATTTCAGTTTGGTTGGTAGCCAAAGCCCAATATTCTTCTTGCATTTCATTTGTCTTGGAAGTCTCCTGCTAGGAAATCCAATCATCAATTTAAACCTAACACCCTTCATTTTTAATGCTGAGAAAATGCTGGGCTGTCTTAGTCATATTCCCAGCAAGTCTTTATTCCATTTTCACTTCATTAATTTAGGTTTCTGAAGTAGATTATTTTATTCTCCATTCCATTCACTGTCTACAAAATGTATTGCAAGATGGAAAGCAGCCACGGACCATCAGTTGAAAAACATGCAGCTGGAATCTGAAAGTCTTGCCAACCGTTAAGCATTGTAATCTTAACTTTCACTTTGCTCAGTGATTGCAGTGTAATTATATTATTAGCTCCTCATCACTGTCTGAACCATTTTTATACCCACAGCCTGTGATATGAACGTTCATAAGCAATGTGTAATAAATGTCCCGAGCCTCTGTGGCATGGACCACACAGAGAAAAGAGGAAGGATTTATCTGAAAGCTGAAGTCACTGGAGACAAACTGGAAGTAACAGGTAAACAACAAATTTTGGAATTTTGCAGGTTTTACATATGTGTAATATACACTGTGGGTTTGTGTACTGTGGTCAAAGCTTTGTGCAACAGAACCAGTGCTGGGGGTCACTGGCTTCACAGGTGTGAGGATTTCATCCAGTCTGTCCTTGAATCAAGCAACTCTGTAAACTGATATTCATTAAAATAGTTAGAAAAGTGAAAACTGTCTAATAGCTTTTAAAAGTCAGGAAAATTAATTAGAGAATCACTGTAATGTCATTTGTGTGTATGTGTGGGAAGCAGCCCAGTAGGACAGCTAGCTGTGCAGGAAGCTGGCCATCATCTGTGGGACACAAGGAATACTCTAAACTTTCATCAAGCTGAGGAGCTGTTTCCTGCATCTTAGAGTAGTTAATAAACAAAGGCAGCTTGGATTCCACCCCAAATGTTATTTCCAGTGAGTTATAAAATTAAAATGATTAAAAATCCCCACTGCATTCACTCCTGGCTTTCTTCTCTCTAAACCCAGACGCCTCCATGTCCTCCTGTCAAACCTTGGAAAATGCATTGACAAGGAATGGAAAAATGTAGTTGGAAAGGATCAGAAGGGATCCCAAGTGATACTTAGTTGAGCTTCAGGGCTCACACAACTCCTTGTCAGTGTAGGAGGGGAAAACTTGTCCAAGGGACTGTCGTTAGCAGCAAGGTGGTTTCACTAAGCAGTGATGTGTCTCACAGATGGTGATGCAGGTTCTCCCAGTAGCTGCACCATGAGAAAGAACTAATCTGAAAATAATCCAAGTGACAAAATTTAATATTTGCATTGTTCTAGGCTGCTTTGCAGCAAAGGTCTTAAATGTGCCTGAAACTTTCTGGTATGATACAATCATTTGACAAATAACAGGTACATATTTTGAGATGATTCAGCAGGTTTGTAACCCTATTGGGGGCAAAAAATAGTTGTCACAATTCTTTGTGGTACCAGGGCACTATGAAGCAATTACACAAGTGGGTATTTATCCTTTATTTGACAAGGTATTTTTTTGAAATATGAATATGGTGAAATTGTTACAGATATTTTGTAGGTTTTCATCATAGTCTTTTTTTTAAGAGAGTATACTTGCCAAATGCTGTTACTTTTATGTTTATAAATAAAACGTTTCCATCTCACCAAGAAGTAGGTTTCTGGACAAGTAAAATGTTTACTATAACCCTGTTGTGTGTATAACAGGTCAGGAGCTGCTAAGTTGAGGCTTGTCAGCATTTCCAAGCTTTCAGAAAGTGTCTTTAAATAAAAATGACAGTAGCCCTGAAAATTAAAAAAAAAACCAAACAATTAAAAAATACTAGACAGGCCAGACCCAGATGGGGTGAAGTTTCAGAGACCTTTTGTGCATGTTTAACTGAAATGGAAATAAGCAGTTGTCAGTTGAATCATATAATGCCATGCAAAGATGTTGAGCTCCATTTCTCCCAGTATGGAATTGCTTCTAAACTATTTATTGACAAAACCCTTGTTAGAGGTGTAGGGTTCCCAGAACTGCCAAGCATGACACCACTGCCTTGAGGGTCAGGAAAGGAGGTGAATTAAATGTCCACAAGGCTAAGGAACAGTAGAGGAAATAATGATTGGCTGTTTGGTTTGAGCCTTCCCCTAAACCTTTTTCCAAGGAATTACTCTGCTGGTGTTGAACTTCAGCTGAATTCCTTAATATCTCTGCTCTGCATCCTGTTTTGGTTGTTAATTAGTTCCTGCTG